GTGATGCAATGTGAAGTAGGTATAACACCGGTGGTGATATAAGTTGAAGTATCTATTTCACAGGTGGTGATACAATTTGAAACAGGTATGACACAATTGGTGATACAATTTGAAATAACTATGACACAAATGGTGATACAATTTAGCTATGAAACAGACGATGATACAATTTGAAGTAGGTATGACATAGATGGTGATACAATTTGAAGTATGTATGACACAGGTGGTGATACAATTTGAAGTAGGTTTACACAGGTGGTGATACAATTTGAAGTAGGTACGACAGATATTGTTTAGATAAAGTACAACGGCACCCACTCCAGTCAACTTGAAGGTTAAACCAATCGCATTAAAAATCGCATTAAAACATAACAAGCGACTTACCCGTGAAAACGTAATCCAATCGATAGAGACGCCTAAAGTCATATAAGTCCAGGTATTGTATCAGTGTAAAGTCCACTGGATGAAGTCACACGTAGCGTGAGTCCAGCGAGTGAAGTCACATGTACCTTGAGCTGCTCACCGCTGTGTTTACCACCCTCGCCATCGCGTTGCACTTTTCACTCACCCTTCGCGCACGTGCGTCTGCGAGCGACGCTGCCAGAGAAAAAAAATCGCTCACTGCCGTTAGGGGCCGTTCCAGAATAATTTGATGCTCGAGCAACGTGAAATACGGGAACCACGTGACGAAATCAAAGCTGGGGTTTTTGTCTTTTGGATTGAAATTGTGTACAAAAATATGAGATGGGCATTGAAGGTCTCACGTTCTATGAGCTTGGACAGTAGTTGTGATGACATTGATGAGAACTGCTGAGATGACATTGATGACAACTGCTGTGATGACATTGATGACAACTGATGTGATGACATTGATGACAACTGCTGTGATGACATTGATGATTGATGACAACTGATGTGATGACATTGATGACAACTGCTGTGATGACATTGATGACAACTGCTGTGATGACATTGATGACAACTGATGTGATGACATTGATGACAACTGCTGTGATGACATTGATGATTGATGACAACTGATGTGATGACATTGATGACAACTGCTGTGATGACATTGATGACAACTGCTGTGATGACATTGATGATTGATGACATCTGCTGTGATGACATTGATGACACCTGCTGTGATGACATTGATGACAACTGCTGTGATGACATTGATGACAACTGATGTGATGACATTGATGACAACTGCTGTGATGACATTGATGACAACTGCTGTGATGACATTGATGATTGATGACAACTGCTGTGATGACATTGATGACAACTGATGTGATGACATTGATGACAACTGCTGTGATGACATTTATGACATCTGCTGTGATGACATTGATGACAACTGCTGTGATGACATTGATGATTGATGACAACTGCTGTGATGACATTGATGACAACTGCTGTGATGACATTGATGACAACTGCTGTGATGACATTGATGATAACTGCTGTGATGACATTGATGAGAACTGCTGTGATGACATTGATGACAACTGATGTGATGACATTGATGAGAACTGGTGAGATGACATTGATGACAACTGCTGTGATGACATTGATGATTGATGACAACTGCTGTGATGACATTGATGACAACTGCTGTGATGACATTGATGACAACTGCTGTGATGACATTGATGAGAACTGGTGAGATGACATTGCTGACATCTGCTGTGATGACATTGATGAGAACTGGTGAGATGACATTGATGTCATCTGCTGTGATGACATTGATGACAACTGCTGTGATGACATTGATGACAACTGCTGTGATGACATTGATGAGAACTGGTGAGATGACATTGATGACATCTGCTGTGATGACATTGATGAGAACTGGTGAGATGACATTGATGACATCTGCTGTGATGACATTGATGAGAACTGGTGAGATGACATTGATGACATCTGCTGTGATGACATTGATGACAACTGCTGTGATGACATTGATGACAACTGCTGTGATGACATTGATGAGAACTGGTGAGATGACATTGATGACATCTGCTGTGATGACATTGATGAGAACTGGTGAGATGACATTGATGACATCTGCTGTGATGACATTGATGAGAACTGGTGAGATGACATTGATGACATCTGCTGTGATGACATTGATGACAACTGCTGTGATGACATTGATGACATCTGCTGTGATGACATTGATGAGAACTGGTGAGATGACATTGATGACATCTGCTGTGATGACATTGATGACAACTGCTGTGATGACATTGATGACAACTGCTGTGATGACATTGATGAGAACTGGTGAGATGACATTGATGACATCTGCTGTGATGACATTGATGACAACCGCTATGATGACATTGATGACAACTGATGTGATGACATTGATGACAACTGATGTGATGACATTGATGACAACTGCTATGATGACATTGATGACATCTGCTGTGATGACATTGATGACAACAGATGCGATGACATATGGTTCATGACATTGTTAACAGTAGCTGTGATGTCAAAAGCTAAAATGACATTGATAACTAAATGTGTGATGATATTAATGACAACAGTTGTGAAAAGAACAGCTGTTATCACATAGCTCGCAAAAGATGTCTTGACATACCGTGTAATGACATTGATGTCTTGACATACCGTGTAATGACATTGATGTCTTGACATACCGTGTAATGACATTGATGTCTTGACATACCGTGTAATGACATTGATGTCTTGACATACCGTGTAATGACATTGATAACAGCAGCTGTCGTGAAAACAATGTCAAAAGCTAAAATGACATTGATAACTACAGTGGTAAAAGAACAGGTTTAATGACAACCTGGTGTTGTCATCATTGATGTCAAATGTCAAGTAAATTTCATAAGAAAAGAAATCCAGATATCTATATATATAATTCTCTTCTTCGAGCCGTTAGAAAACAAGCTGCAAACGCTCTCCCTACCTCCCCACCCCTACATGGTTTTAGTGAGCTGTGTTCACTCTAAATGTTTACAAGCAGAGCCAACGATTTTAAACGTAGGGGGGGGGGGGAGGGGGGGAGGGAAGGAAGGGGGGGGGGTTATGGTCCTTAACGAGCTACTTATAGTGTTTTAAAGAAATATTTTCAGTGTCAGCGTTGGTACTGTCGAATTCACAAATTATGAATTATTGAAAATTAGAAACAACTAAATAGCGGCGTATGTTATGCCGCGGGCCGGCTTGTATCTTTTACAAGTCAACTTACCTCGGTGTTCCGCGATATTTAGCTTACAACGATGGATCAGATTAAGGTTAGAGATTAGCATAACCCAACAGCAGTGAATCGAGCTAGTGTACGAACTTTTCCCCCTCTACCAGAAACAATTATGTAACAATGAAGTAACAAATGTTACACACGATCAAAGGTTCATGGTGAGCACTTTGATGAGTGCAGCTGTCAATAACTGCTCACTTCAAATGGAGTGGTTGCTGTCGATGTATGGGGTTAAATGTGTGGGGGGGGGGGGGGGTGGGGTGAGATCGTTAAAAGCAGTGAGAACTGAATGTACCTGTTCTGCTAAGATGCATCAATGAGTGAGTGACAAAACTAAGGGATTTAAATCTGAAAATTTACGGAGAATTTTATATATGTACATATATATATATATATATATATATATATATATATATATATATATATATATATATATATATATATATATATATATATATATATATATCTATATATATATATATATATATATATATATATATATATATGGAAAAGTGCTTTTGACTACCCCCCCCCCTAGTCATTACGAAATCCGGCATCATTCACTGCACTTAGTACACTAAGCAGGCCTATACTGTATAATGCTGTAAATGTATATAGAGATAGGAAGAACTTGAAGATATTAAACGTTATAAACTTCTATCAACGCTAAAAAAGCGTGTTAGTTATTTCGCTCATGTTATGATAGTGTAGACTGTAGACAGTTAAAGATATGTAGGCCTATCTACGTTTTGCCTGCTAAATGAGAAATGCAGGCTTTCAGTGTAATGATAATTCATTCTTAAAAGAAAAAGAAAGAAAATACCAGGTTTTATGTTTACATGTAAACACGTCGTTATCTGGTGATCAATTAACGGATACAAACAGATCACGTGACTTTTTGTTGTTTTGACCCTGCCCATCCACCCCAAACAAAACAATTGAAAATAAACAACACGATGTTTGAACGTATAGGATGATAAATTAAAATACCTTGGATGTTATAGGGAAATTGGTAGGAAGGATTGAAATATAAAAGAAATATTGAATGATTTTATACCGGGTTAAAAATTTTAATGTACGTCTCAAAGAAATACCAGGGGGACTAACTTAAGAAAACAAAATAAAAAAATAAAGATAACCTGTTTTGCTCCCCTTTCTTATAAAAAAAAAATTAGATACAAAGTGTTTTATTATTTAGAAAAAAATTAAACAGAGAAAAAGCTGAAAAAACTAAATCTTCTAGATATAATGTTTTTGTTTTTAAATAAGATTAAACGTTTATGTGAATTCTTTCAAAGAACTAAAGTGGCCATAAATAAGTTCCCACGTTAGGTCTACTACATCATCATACATTTACTTGTAAAGATTGCTGCAATACCTAGAATATTAAATATACATTTTTGAATAATTTTTTTTACTAGATCTAGATCTAGAGCTAAATTTGTATTTGGATTTTAAATCTGTTTACTTTCTTGTAAGGTACTATTTATCAGACTTTTAATATTTTTATGATACTTTTATCTCACTATAGTCTATAAGAATCCAAACGTCTTAATTTACTAAATGTGAATAATAATTAGCAATATTATGCAGCCTAAAAAATCGGAATCAGGGATTGTTAGGCTAGACCTAGCTCCGCCCCATTCCCACATAAAGTAGTACACACAAAAATATAGTAAATTCAAACAAGCAGACACATCGATCAACCAAAATATTGCCTTCTGTTCCGCCACTTGCTACACACAGAGTGACACAGTGTGTAGGTTACGGCGCTCTAATGTACACAACAACAAACTGGAGACTACTCTGGAGAAAGCGTACAAATACAAGGCAGTGTAGATCTAGATCTAGATCTAGATCAGGATTCTAAATTCTTATTCTAGTTATATTCTACCTGCGAATTTATTAGAAATTTTCTGTAGGCTAATAAACTCTAGATCTACATCATTCTAGACTCTAGAGTCTAGAGCTAGAATCTAGATCTAGATCTAGACTCTAGATTCTAGATATTTCACTGGTAGATTTATTAAATTTATAATATAAATCATTCGAGACGATGATTCTTATTTCGGATTACAATTCTAAGTAGTAGATCTAGAATTCTAGATCTAGGCTCTAAATTTAGTTTAGCCTAGAAAATTGTTTTCAAAGAAAGAAGTGTCTCAGTCTGACTGAGGCTTAATCTAGTATTAGTAAGTTAGTGTTCACTAACTTTGTGAGATACGCCGATACGGAGAGGCTTATTCAATTCTATGATGAGTCTGTATTTCTAGATCTAATTCTAGACCTAGAGAATCTAGATCTAGATTCTAGATCTAGATCTAGAATTTCTAGATCTAGTTAGTATTATTAAAATTTATTAGGCCTAGCTAGTCTATTTATTTGAAATAAAATAATAAATTCTTAGAACTTCTATAGGCCCAAATACTATTATAATATTTAATAATAAATATAAGTAGGCCTAGGCCTAGTAATTTAGGCCTAGATCTAGTATTATTATTATTATAGTAATTAAGTAATAGGCTATAGTGGTACTAATAGAGGCCTAATCTAATACTAGTAAATAAATACTAGATCTAGATCTACATATAGATCTAGATTCTTGTACTTGTAGCCTACAGAAAAATAAATTATAGAATTTAAAAAAAAAGACAGTAACGACAGATTTTCACAGTTCTTATCGACTTAAAAATCAACGAACAAACCAATCAAATATGACACCACACTCAGGTAAGAAAGTTTGTTGCTTTATTAATTTATTTCCTATTAATTTATTAGGCCTTATTCTACCTAGTAGCCTTATGGATATTTAATTTACTAGTTGAATTAGTAGCAGTGTTTTTTCAGACTTTTTTCTCTGGTAGGGGGGGGGGGGGGGGGGGCACTTGATATTTTTTAGGAGGGCGGACTAAATTTTCTGGGGAGGGGTGTATATATTTCCTTATAAATTCCACTTAGTTCAGAGGGAGGGGGCGGTTGACCTTTTTTCAGAGGCCCCCCCCCCCCCACCCCTGAAGAGATGCCTGGAAGAAACTCTGATTAGTAGATAGATTCTAGTTTTATTTTTAAAATTGTTCAATCAGAGAGGAAAGTTTGATACACAACTAGTTGTGTTGATTGAATCTAGACCCACTAGGTCGCAGTGGCATAGTCAGGATCGTCTCAAGGGGGGGGGTTCCAATTTTTACCCGGGGACAAACTTTCGATCTGCACCCCCCCTACCCCCTCAGACTTTTGATTTACACCCCCCCCTCAAACTTTCAATTTGCACCCCCCCCCCCCTCAAACTTTTGATTTGCACCCCCTCATACTTTATATATATATATATATATAAATATATATACCAAGGGGTCTATGGGGGGGGGGGGGGGGTTATGACCCCCCTAACCCCCCTGCCTACGCCACTGCTAGGTCGACCACCATTACCATGACTTTATTTCTATGAGAACATCTACTTCAAAATCAAACACATTTAATAATTTAAATATGCTTGAATTATACATGGCAAATAAGGCTTACAATATTGATGAATAGAAGAAAAGACCCAAGCATTAAAAAAAAATTTAAAAAAAAACTGAGTCAAGAAATAATTCTGTTTGCTTAAAGTTGACTCATACTTAAAATTCAGGTCATGTTGGTCATGTGTTTGATAGAATCAAGTTGTAATTGATCTATTAGCTCAATGAATAGGTCTATGTGCAGATGTTACTGATTAATGAGAATTTTATAATTAATAGCCATGTACTTTTACATTCCTTATGAGTCTATTAAAAAAAGAAATAAGATTACTGTAGTTATATAGAAAGCAGGCAGAGTTTCTTCCAGGCCCCCCCCCCCCCCCCCCTGAAAAAAGTCTATGAAATTTGTATAGAAAATATATACTTTTAACTGTGTCCGCCCCTCCCCCTCCAAAAAAAGTCTACCCCCCTTCCCCCCCCCCCCCCCCCCCCGAAGAAAAAAGCCTGGAAGAAACACTGAAAGCAGGTTATACTTTTGTAGGAAATGTAATATGACACATTGTATAAAACAGCTTGTGCCTTAACTCAGTATTATTATTTTATATACATCTGTATCAAGGTCCTTTTCTATGTTCCAAACTACTGTATATGTATGTTAAAACTTGTTGGCTTGCTTTAGTTGAATTTATTTATGAGTTTTACAACTTAAAAACAATGCTTTAGTTCCCTTAGTAAAGAAGACATTTGCTTACCATTGGTATCATTTTAACAATCATATTTAATTTAAAAAAACAACTTAATTAAACTAATAGTATTAGTTACTGGACCTGTAGTTCATGGCTATTTAAAGTATTTTCATTTTGACCACATGTAGGCCAATATTTTGAGTCACGAGCCGTTTGGTTAAACATTCTTGCTTGCTAATTTTTAATGACTTGTACTAAATGATGTATTCTGGTACTTAAAACTAAAATTATGTTGTGTTGTTTCCAGTCTTTCTGACATTAACCTAATGACAAATGCTAAATTTATTTATTCAAGGGCAGTAAGTTGATAGAACATTAGATTATCATCTATTTTCACTTGCGTAACCAGTCGCAATAACTGGCTTTTATCATACATGCATCTAAAGTAAATCTGTGTATCCGTGGAGAAGAAATTTTTGTTAAGTTTTGAGATGTGATCTTTAAATGAATTATTAATTATGCCTACAAAATGCTGAGTACTTAAATATAGCCAGTGCCAGAATGTATTTTTAAAAATTGGATCTGAAAGTTTGAGAAAAAAAATCCAGAGTTATGGGCCATAAAAAGCTATTTTGTAAGCCACTCCACCCAGACCCACATGCTCAGGATTAAAGTAATGTGACAGGTCAATGTGACAGGTCAATGTGACTGACAGGTCAATGTGACTGACAGGTCAATGTGACTGACAGGTCAATGTGACTGACAGGTCAATGTGACTGACAGGTCAATGTGACTGACAGGTCAATGTGACTGACAGGTCAATGTGACTGACAGGTCAATGTGACTGACAGGTCAATGTGACTGACAGGTCAATGTGACTGACATGTCAATGTGACTGACAGGTCAATGTGACTGACAGGTCAATGTGACAGGTCAATGTGACTGACAGGTCAATGTGACTGACAGGTCAATGTGACAGGTCAATGTGACAGGTCAATGGGACAGGTCAATGGGACAGGTCAATGTGACATGTCAAGATTTGATGATCCATCAAAAATTGTTTATATTTCTCAAGATATCAGACATGTGTGGAATAAGGCATGGCCACCCATCATCCTTTATCTGATTCATGCCATCTTACATTGGTCTTACAAAACCTGTTTAGTACATGTTAATCGTGAAGTTTATTTACCTACTCAACCTCTCTAGACATTAAAAAGCAGATTCATTTCTCTATCTTTGGTGCTATTTCTTTTTTCTAGTCAATTTCCATGTGCTAGTGAGTGCTTATTTTCTGAGCATACATCAGTGGTAACTTTATATGGCTGGACATGCAACTTGACACCTAAATTACATGATTGGATGAGATGTGTGAGGTTGTTTCTAGTATTACCTTTAGCACTGAGGTGGTTCTAATGTTGTCATTTAAAAAGCTACAATTTGACCAGATCATGTGCTGGTGTTATGGACCAATTCATGTACTGGTGCTATAGACCAAATCATGTACTTGTGCTTTGGACCAAATCATGTGCTGGTGCTATAGACCAAATCATGTGCTGGTGCTTTAGACCAGATCATGTGCTGGTGTTATGGACCAAATCATGTGCTGGTTCTATAGACCAAATCATGTACTGGTGCTTTATACTGAATCACGTGCTATGGACCAACTCATTTGCTGGTGCTATAGACCAAATCATGTGCTGGTGCTATAGACTAAATCATGTACTGGTGCTTTATACTGAATCACGTGCTATGGACCAACTCATTTGCTGGTGCTATAGACCAAATCATGTGCTGGTGCTATAGACTAAATCATGTTCTGGTATAACTAAATGAATAGTCCTTAGAGCTATCATCTTTAATGTGTAAATAAACAAATATTGCTTAAGTCGACGTTATCTGATTATAATTCGACATCTGAAGTGGCTAAATATTCCCTTGTTTGATTAGCTTGAAGCATGCCAAAGTTGTGTCCAACATTCATGGATCACCTGTTTGATTAGCTTGAAGCATGCCAAAGTTGTGTCCAACATTCATGGATCACTTGTTTGATTAGCTTGAAGCATGCCAAAGTTGTGTCCAACATTCATGGATCACTTGTTTGATTAGCTTGAAGCATGCCAAAGTTGTGTCCAACATTCATGGATCACTTGTTTGATTAGCTTGAAGCATGCCAAAGTTGTGTCCAACATTCATGGATCACCTGTTTGATTAGCTTGAAGCATGCCAAAGTTGTGTCCAACATTCATGGATCACTTGTTTGATTAGCTTGAAGCATGCCAAAGTTGTGTCCAACATTCATGGATCACTTGTTTGATTAGCTTGAAGCATGCCAAAGTTATGTCCAACATTCATGGATCACTTGTTTGATTAGCTTGAAGCATGCCAAAGTTGTGTCCAACATTCATGGATCACCTGTTTGATTAGCTTGAAGCATGCCAAAGTTGTGTCCAACATTCATGGATCACCTGTTTGACTAGCTCCACGTAAAGTTTGATCCAACATTCCTAGAGTAAAGAGTGGTGTAGGGTACATCAATACTCTATAGGCTTAATGTGACACGGATTTGTTATTGATAGAAAGGTCCTATTGATTTCTGATTGATCTTCGCCAAACACAATTTCTATATTATCTTCACGGCGGTACGCGAGGGGAAGTAATCACATTCAAGTTAATGGACTCTTTCCCTTTAATTTCTTGTTGTAGACTAAATTAAATGGGACGCCCTGTTTCAAAAATCAATGCTGGGTTGCTGATTAATACTTTTACAACTGGAGTTTCGGTTTGTTGGTAGAGTGGAATATTGTCTTAAAGTGTTGTATAACCAACAAACAATAAGCAGCCATCTTGTCTACAAAACTTGACACTGAAGCAGTGTTTAAAGGGACGTTACTCTCATCTACTTTATATCCCCTGTATTAACTCGTGCCCCACCCCTGTCAGATCCTATCATAAATAAGCTGCCTTAGTTAGGTCAAACAAGGGACGATTGTCTCTAAATATAACGATTACTTTCAACAGATTAAGCTTAGCAGGGGCCTGATAAAGAAACATGTATAGCATAGTTCCCCCAAGTATTCATATTTTAATCACACCTCACTTTTTCTGTACATTTCTCTTGTTATCGACATTTTGGTATAATATTTTTTCTGTATTTTTATTTTTCACGTTTAGTTTGTATCGTATCGCCACTGTCACGTTCTGTTTGTATCGTATCGCCACTGTCACGTTCTGTTGGTATCATATCGCCACTGTCACGTTCTGTTGGTATCATATCGCCACTGTCACGTTCTGTTGGTATCATATCGCCACTGTCACGTACTGTTTGTATGACACCTGTACTGTCAAGCTCTGCAGCATGTTTCTACCATCTTGTTGTGCATGTTTACGTGTGCCATTATTTATAGAACTGTATCGATTCGCCCCATCACACGATCTAATGCCATCGACCTCTTCATGTAATGAGATTGTATTGAACACGAGAATTAGACTGCCGTGTAATCAACGTTAGAGATGGCACCACCGCCCCATCGATCGCTGACCGGTGACTAGACCACTAGGCTGTAGATTAAATTCCTAACCAGGATTCTTTGCTTACAGTTTATGACGTAGTTCACTGTCATTATTTATGACCTGTCGAGTGTCACATCCTGGTCAGAGCTGCCATATATGTATGTGTATGTGCCACAAAATGGTGACGTCATGGAATCACATAAAAAACTAAAAAAAAAAGCCACGTACTAAAATTCATTAAAATCTGTCAATTTCCCCCGAGTGATTCAAAGTTAACAGAAATGATTACTATACATTTTGATTCGACCTCCCCCCCCACCACCACACTAAACCAGCCCCAGCCCAGCCCCATATTGTTGTGTACGTCAGACGTTAAAGTCAGAGTCACGTGATCTGCTGATAACATGCACTGTTGCACCAATCAACAGGCTGGTTTATAGACGTCACAGCCCTTGTTGTCTGTGTTGGAGGGGATTGTGTGTCGGGGTATTGTGTGTAAGGTGCCCTGTGTGTCGGGGTATTGTGTGTAAGGTGCCCTGTGTGTCGGGGTATTGTGTGTCGGTTTGCCCTGTGTCGGATGCCCTGTGTCTAGTTAACCCGTATCGGTGTGTTCTGTGTCGGGTGCCCTGTGTCGGGTTGCCCTGTGTCGGGTAGCTGTGTTTTGTACCATTTACTGATGTGACATCTACTGGTATACGCAAGTATCCTTACAGCGCAGCCTGAGTGTGTTAATATAAAAGCTGCTACAGAATGTTTTATGTAGACCTTCATAAGTGACTCTTTACATTGTCTTTGTGCCGTGGGGGTTACAGTTGTCGTTCACAAAATGAATAGCTGCCAACAGAAATGGTTGAAAGAAGTTTGTAAAAAAACAGTGCGGTGGGTGATCTTTACATGTACACAAACAGCTAGTGGGAGATGTACAGTTGTACTACATGCGCACAACTAAATCGTTATCATCAGAAAGGGAGGTAAAAAATAGGGGAAGTAACTAGTGCCGACAAGACAACTCTGGTTTACATAAAAATGAAAAAAATCAATAAAGTTTGTTGACAAGATAGAGAGTTACAGAGAAAGAGAGTGAGAGACTGTGAGGCAGAAATAAAATCCCATCCATCTGACTTTCAGCAAGCACTAACAGGAGTTACGGGCCTTCCGTTCTAGACCAATTAAAGACTGAACTAAAGAACGTTGAGAGTCTATTAGGAATAATTTTGAGCTTACGTCCCTACACATAGTCAGTGGGCCCCACACATAGGCAAGACTGTCTACTGATCAAGTCCTTACCCACAGTCAGTGGGCCCCACTTAGTGGATAGGGGAGGGCTGGGCACATTGCGATTGTCTGATACAGCTCCCTCTTGTTTCACACAGGCTGTTATTTCAGGATGATTTATGGTATTTTCATCCTGGAATTTTCAACAGTAATGGAGGGACTGAGGGAGGTTGGTCCAACCTACAATCTATTCAGGCAAAAGGCTCTTTTGGGTTTTGATTGTTGAGTTTCAATTGTGGTTTTATATCAAGTTGATGTTTCTCGTTTTGATAATCAAGTTGCTCTTTCAGATATCAAACTATTTTTCCAGGTTTTGACATCAAGTTGATCTTTTAGATTTTGGTTTTGATATTAAATTGTTTTTTTTTTAGGTTTTGATGTTACTTTGATGTTCTTTCAGGTTTTAAAATCAATTTGATGTTTTTCTAGGTTTTCACATCAACTTAGCAGCACTTGATTAGCAGTGGAGAGGTATCCATGTAGAATAGTTTATGTGTGTGCGTGATTGAAGAGTGATTGTTGCTGTTTTCTGAGTTTGAACTTTAACCTCTTGTGACCCAGGCAACAAAAAGACGTTCCTCTACACAAGCCCAGAGAAGAATGGAGGCAATAACCAAAGGCCCACAACCCCCAGTACAGGGGCCACAACCCTGAACTCCCCCAGAGGTAAGACAACTCTTCTCTGAATGTTTTTTCTCGAATCATGTAAAAAGGAAATGTCCAAATATACTAATTTTGAATTTAAAACAAGTAACAACTGTTTGACAGTATGAACAATTCTTAAGGTTTGTGTCAAAGATTTACCTTTAGACCTGTGTCTTTTAAAACATGTCACCTGATCCCCAGGTACACCACTAGACCTAGGCAACATGTGGAGCCTAAAGAACATGCCTCTCCACTCATCCTCCAGCATGCTGCAGCCAGCCGGCACTGAGGTGCTGAGTAAAACATCACCAACAGCCTTGTACTCACGTTATGGGAGCTTTAATGGTGAGTCTAGGGGAGCTTTGATGGTGAGTCTAGGGGAGCTTTAATGGTGAGTCTAGGGGAGCTTTAATGGTGAGTCTAGGGGAGCTTTAATGGTGAGTTGGTCAGTCTAGGGGAGCTTTAATGGTGAGTTGGTCAGTCTAGGGGAGCTTTAATGGTGAGTTGGTCAGTCTAGGGGAGCTTTAATGGTGAGTTGGTCAGTCTAGGGGAGCTTTAATGGTGAGTCTAAGGGAGCTTTAATGGTGAGTTGGTCAGTCTAGGGGAGCTTTAATGGTGAGTTGGTCAGTCTAGGGGAGCTTTAATGGTGAGTTGGTCAGTCTAGGGGAGCTTTAATGGTGAGTTGGTCAGTCTAGGGGAGCTTTAATGGTGAGTTGGTCAGTCTAGGGGAGCTTTAATGGTGAGTCTAAGGGAGCTTTAATGGTGAGTTGGTCAGTCTAGGGGAGCTTTAATGGTGAGTTGGTCAGTCTAGGGGAGCTTTAATGGTGAGTGGTCAGTCTAGGGGAGCTTTAACGGTGAGTTTAGGGGAGCTTTAATGGTGAGTCTAGGGTAGCTTTAATGGCGAGTCTAGGGGAGCTTTAATGGTGAGTCTAGGGGAGCTTTAATGGTGAGTCTAGGGGAGCTTTAATGGTGAGTTTAGGGGAGCTTTAATGGTGAGTTTAGGGGAGCTTTAATGGTGAGTCTAGGGGAGCTTTAATGGTGAGTCTAGGGGAGCTTTAATGGTGAGTCTAGGGGAGCTTTAATGGTGAGTTTAGGGGAGCTTTAATGGTGAGTTTAGGGGAGCTTTAATGGTGAGTTGGTCAGTCTAGGGGAGCTTTAATGGTGAGTTGGTCAGTCTAGGGGAGCTTTAATGGTGAGTTTAGGGGAGCTTTAATGGTGAGTCTAGGGAAGCTTTAATGGTGAATTGGTCAGTCTAGGGGAGCTTTAATGGTGAGTTTAGGGGAGCTTTAATGGTGAGTTTAGGGGAGCTTTAATGATGAGCCTAGGGGAGCTTTAATGGTGAATTGGTCAGTCTAGGGGAGCTTTAATGGTGAGTTGGTCAGTCTAGGGGAGCTTTAATGGTCAGTCTAGGGGAGCTTTAATGGTGAGTGGTCAGTATAGGGGAGCTTTAATGGTGAGTTGGTCAGTCTAGGGGAGCTTTAATGGTGAGTGGTCAGTCTAGGGGAGCTTTAATGGTGAGTTGGTCAGTCTAGGGGAGCTTTAATGGTGAGTCTAGGGGAGCTTTAATGGTGAGTTTAGGGGAGCTTTAATGGTGAGTCTAGGGGAGCTTTAATGGTGAGTTGGTCAGTCTAGGGGAGCTTTAATGGTCAGTCTAGGGGAGCTTTAATGGTGAGTGGTCAGTATAGGGGAGCTTTAATGGTGAGTTGGTCAGTCTAGGGGAGCTTTAATGGTGAGTGGTCAGTCTAGGGGAGCTTTAATGGTGAGTTGGTCAGTCTAGGGGAGCTTTAATGGTGAGTTTAGGGGAGCCTTAATGGTGAGTCTAGGGGAGCTTTAATGGTGAGTCTAGGGGAGCTTTAATGGTTAAATGATAACTTGCACCTAAAATAGCTGTAGGTTGCTACATCGTATTTTCTTCAGTACAGGCAATGTCTGTAAGTGTGATATATATGCTTCTGTCATTTACATGAAGAAAATTCCCAGAACTAACATGATACATTTGTTTTGATCAGGTCGAGCTGGGAGTCCTGGAAGTCAGATTATTGGCACTAGACAAACAGGTATGTTGGTGTTAGCAGGTATGTTGGTGTTAGCAGGTATGTTGGTGTTAGCAGGTATGTTGGTGTTAGCAGGTATGTTGGTGTTAGCAGGTATGTTGGTGTTAGCAGGTATGTTGGTGTTAGCAGGTATGTTGGTGTTAGCAGGTTTGTTGGTGTTAGCAGGTTTGTTGGTGTTAGCAGGTATGTTGGTGTTAGCAGGTATGTTGGTGTTAGCAGGTTTGTTGGTGTTAGCAGGTATGTTGGTGTTAGCAGGTATGTTGGTGTTAGCAGGTTTGTTGGTGTTAGCAGGTATGTTGGTGTTAGCAGGTATGTTGGTGTTAGCAGGTATGTTGGTAGTTGTTTGTGGCACTAGACAAACAGGTATGTTGTAGCCTGTCAACCCACCTGACCTACCTGTATTCTACCTGTTCTAGCTCCGCAGTGGTCAAGCTCTGGCCACAGCTTCTCCCAGTCCTCCCAGTACCGCCTGTCCCCCAGGACACCATCAGACGCCAGACGGAGGGAACAGGCACCATCTCCACTGGACCGTGACCCCAATGACTTTTGATAATGTCTACACCTAGAACTTGTAAATTATTGTACATTAATTTTGTTAACCTTTAAGATGTATGCACTATGTTTTTAATGAATGCCATTATTTTATGACAAAGTTATTTTTAGTTCTCTGCATGTGGTCTGTAAGGACATGTATTTACATTTGTTATGTGTAGGCTTTTGTTGGCCAATCAAGACTTCAATTCAAGCAACTCCAGTTATTTATTTTCAGGCAGTAAATCCGCAATACGATGAAAGAGAATAATTGTGTATTCAATATAAAGTTCATACATTTGACTGAGGTCCTTGAAGAAGATGAACAACTGTTCACAACATTTGTTCTGTCACACTCACAGCCAGGTAACACACATGCACACACACACACACAGGAACAGGGCTTTACCCCCCTCTCATTAATTACCCCTGGACATTTCCCCCCTGACATTACCCCCCTAGAGTAATTACCCCCCTGTCAAACACCCCCCCCCCCCCCCCCCCCCCCGCCCAGTAGGACATATCCCCCCTTTCCCCCGATTCTCTGGACACAGCTTAAGGAACTAGTGTTAGGGTTAAAGTTTGGGCTAGGGTCAGGGCTAGGATTAGGGTTAGTGCTTAAATCAATGTCTAGAGTTGGTTTCGGTTTCGTGTTAAGTTTTAGGTTGAGGTAAATGCTTAGGTTTTGGTCTTTTTCTTAAGGTTAGGATTAAGGTAATATATAGGTATAGAATTTGAGTTAGAGTTAGGATTCTAACTGCATTGGGGGGGGGGGGGGTGAGTGATGTTCTGTAGCCACACATACACACACAACACAGATCTTGAGCCTTTTGTACACCTCATATACAAGGTGAATATTTTGTCCAATAATGATCTACAGCTCACACTGGCTACTGTACAGCTCACACTGGCTACTGTACAGCTCACACTGGCTACTGTACAGCTCACACTGGCTACTGTACAGCTCACACTGGCTACTGTACAGCTCACACTGGCTACTGTACAGCTCACACTGGCTACTGTACAGCTCACACTGGCTACTGTACAGCTCACACTGGCTACTGTACAGCTCTTCTACTCTCACACCCAGTACATTAAGCTCACACTGGCTACTGTACAGCTCACACTGACTACTGTAAGCCGCTCACACCCAGTACATTAAGCTCACACTGGCTACTGTACAGCTCACACTGGCTACTGTACAGCCCCTCACACCCAGTACATTAAGCTCACACTGGCAACTGTACAGCTCTTCTACTCTCACACCCAGTACATTTAAAACATATTATCTATTGCATTGTCCTGCTAGCCTGATTGGCTTAAGGTTTTAACCAATCAACAAACTAGCCTTTGCTGTCTCATTTTGATTTATTGTTTTTTTTTAATTGTTTTTTTAATAGGATAAAATAAAAAGTTTCTTGTCAGAAATAAAACAATTGTTAAAAATAACATTGGAATATTTGTTTTATACAGATGGAGCAAATTAAAAATGAGATAATGTTCCTTAACATTAATATAAATAATTAATCCAATTATTTGAAGTATGCACAGCTTTTTTATTATTATTGACAATGGAAATATCTGGAATATTTCAAATCTCTCATACAGGTAGTTTTTAAACATTTTTTATGTGTGCTGCAAATGTTGCTATTAATTTTGTTGCTAATAAAGTTGTGTTCTTTTGTCAATTCTTTTTTAATAGAATTATAAATAACTTTTTTTGTAAAAACGTTTGTGGGACCTGTGTTTTGTTTTTGAATTTTGTGCATGAACTGTAAAAAAAAATATGGACTTAATAAATATATGGACTGTATAAAAATATGGATTGTATAAAAATATGGGCTGCATAAAATACTGACTATAAAAATATGTTATGTTTATGAATATACACTGTTTAAAAATATGAACTATAAGATCTGATGTTGCCTATGAAGATTTTATTTCCTGTTTAATCTTTAATCAATTCTAATCTACGTTTTCAAAACTAGATATTTAGAAGATACAATTGTTTTAAAATGATGTATTAGAGAATACTGCAAATGTACACATACTTTTGTACACCTTATCAGTGATCACCTGATTCACCCTTTGACCTCACCTTCTGTACACAGTGGTTATAGTTGTTACTAGCATTTACACAGTTGTTTAAAATGTCCATTTATCACTGTGTAATATATGATGACATTTTTTTATGAATCAAAAAATATTTATTTCTTACCCAAGTGTTTTGATATGTAATGTTATTTATTGATTGAAAGATAAACATTAATAAATATTGTTGAAATGTATGTAAACTTTTTTTTTATATTTCTTCACATTTAAAAAAAAATTAATTGTATTATTAAAAAAAAGTAAATGCCGCTTTGTAGGCGACATGAACGGGAAGTAACAATGAGTTGCCTAGAGTCAAATGTATTTTTCCAGTTGTCTCCCCTTAAACTAATTCGCATTATATTCAGGTTCTAAATTGTACACCTAGTCGTGGGCTCAGCTTTCTTGTTATTCAGTCTTTACGTTACACTACAGAAATAATTGGCTCTTAGGAGCATGAGCAGCTACATCGTGGGCTGTGATAAATGCGTGCTGTAGGTTCCCAGCCTTAAACTAGCTACAACAACTGTCTCAATTGGAAGAAATTTGAAACCCTGACATTTTGACATGGAAGAACAATTGAAGCGAAAATTGTATCCATTATTTTTGTCTTCCCGGCTTTCATGTGATGGTCGTTGTGGGTGGAAATATAGTGGCAACTGTGGATTTTACATGGTGGAAAGGTCAGGTGACATAGTGGGTTTACAGAATATAATCTTACTTCATGTGACTCTCATTTTGTACTAATCTGAACAGTAGAACCTTACTTCATGTGACTTACTTGGACTAGTCTGCACAATATAACTTTATTTGGGTTCGGACCAGTCACCATGACATTATTGCACTAGTCAGCACAGTACAGCTTAGGTCACATGATATTTTGGACCAATTCACGCAACATTGTGTTTTACGACAAGTTGGCAACAATAGTATCAGTTCTATGAAAAGATTGTAGTAGTACACAAAACATACTTTCAGTTTTATGACAAGATTGCACCAATAGTGTCAGTTCAATGACAATATTGCACTAACTTGTGTTAAGTAAATAGAAGCCGTCCACTGCCCACGTTACTTTTCTATGGGCTATGTCACAATTTCACACCCGTCCACATGAACAAACTGAAGTTAAATAAGTTTAGTGTTTATTGAATTTAAAATAACTTTTTCCCAGGATTCAGATAAGGAACGACAACTATTCTATTTGAAAAAAAAAATGTTCACATAACTTGACCAAGTTGATTAAAAATTTTTGTGTCCGTCCTGTTGTCGCTGACATGAATACACGGGTCGTCGTGTGGCCGTAGATGGCAACACACATCTCTTCATCCGTCAGATTACTTCGTTTTGTTTTCTGGATTTGAGGGCAGGATAAAGATAATCCGGGCAGGATAAAGATAATCCGGGCATAATCCGGGCATAATCCGGACTCGCGGACTCCAGCTGGGAGGTCTTTGTAGACAGGTCACCGTGACATGACGGTAATCTGAGGTTGATGATCTCAACCCACCACCAGCCCACCACGACGCTCCTAGACTTTGGATACATCAACACGCAATGTAGGTGGTTGTCTTGTGAAAACCAGGATGTTGGGTGGGTAACGGGTTGGTAGATAGATGGGCTGGTAGCGGAGTTTCTTTCAGACATTTCTTCGGGAGAGGAGAGGGAGGGGGTGCATGACAACCGCCTTCCCCCCACCTCCCTACCCCCAAACAGACGAAATGGAAAAAAATGTGAACAGAAAATATAAAATTTAACTAGTCCGGCCCTCCCTCCCCATGTGGATATATTAAGTACGTCCCTCCGAAAAAAAAATCAGAAAAAAATTCTCGTTGTCAGATGAGTATCTGGGTGGTAGATGGGTGTTTGGTTGAGCCAATCTTGAGTACTTATTAAACCACGAGTTGCAAACACCACACAATCCCCTCCCACAGAGCTGTGACAAGGACATCAGCGCGGCTGCTAAAGCTGGATATATTTACATCTCATTACCTCAGCGGTCCTCGGGTTTAGTCAAAACTGGTTCAACTTTTAAAAAGTCGTACAAATCATATTTCGACCGAACAGAACTGTAACTGACACTGACGAACTATCAGAAGTAGAAACCGAATTATTAAACGTTCAATATTGAAGGTGATGTTCCCGAAATAAAAAACTAACAAGAAAAAAATCGAATAAGAAAAAAATCCCAACAGAAAATAAACCGGTAGTGATCTCCCCTAAACTTTCTCGAATATTCTTATATAAAATAACAGGGGATGGGAACTCGGGCTATAGACATGATTTTTAATCCATTTTAAATACTTAAAGTTTTAAAAATAGAATAAAATCTCGTAGACAAATTAATTGCACACCAAGTGAACGCGAAATAAAAAAGCGCATAATAGTGCGCAATATTATTATTACTTTTAAAATTTACATTAGTTTTTTGAGAAATCGGAAGTAGCGTAAAGTACTACTTCCAGTCAACGGAAATGACTCAAAATTTAATAGAAGGTAGAGAATTAGATCTTTTACTTACGTATGAAATTTCATTTATCTATCTGAAATAGTACTCAAGTTATAGGCTTTTGAAAAATTCAAAGTAGGAAAAGTACCACTTCCGGTTATCGGAAATCGCTCAAAAGTTGATACGGATCTACGATTTTGATAAAATACTTATATATGAAATTTCATCAACCTAGCTGTAACGGTACTCAAGTTATCGTGTTTACACACGGACACACACACACACAGACACACACACAGACACACAGACATACGGACAAGATTGCAAAATTATGTTTTTCCGTATCAGTGAGATGCAAAACGTCGAGATTTGCAAAAATCTCGATTTTTTTTTTTGCACGATTACAAGACTTTCTCTATACTTCGTATATACGAGAAAGTAAAAATCGGTTTTCGTGTCTTACGACATCTCAAGGCCAACAGCTACTCAAAAACCTGAAGCGACGAAAAGAAACGAAATGACCATATCGGTATCACGGCCCAACTTCCTGTCACGTGACCCTGCTCCATATTTTCGCGGCTGACGTCTGCTAGTCACTTCTGCTTGAATCAAAAATTTTCACTTTCTTCTGTTTGACTATTTTATCTTTCCTGCTCCATGGTCAAGGGGAAATTATCGGGTTCCAGGAAATCACGCTAGGTCTTTGGTTCCCGGGGGACGGGCGTGTTGCCGTCTGCTGATTGGGGGTGTGATAGATGCGGGTTGGAGCGTTCCTTCCGTCTCGCCAGGTCTCGTCGTGTACGAGTTCTCGGGACGGGACGAGATTTAAACAGCAGTTAGTCTTTTGGTGGAGTATCGACTGTTTGATACTAAGGTGTAATCACGACAGTACTGTAGAAAAGTGGCCGTTTGTAGAAAGTTGTCAAAAAGTTTGCAGACATTGAACTGTATGTAAAGTTAGGATAGAAAGCTAGAGGGAGAAATAGGGCAGAGATTGGACTGTCATGGAATTCCTCAAGCCGTATGCAAATTATGCAAAATCCTCCATCAACGGTGGGGTCATTACTGCAAGACGTTTTGCATCCATTGAATAGATTTACATATATTTGTGTGTTAGTGTGACATTTGTGTTAGTGTGACATTTGTGTCTTAGTGTGACATTTGTGTTAGTGTGACGTTTGTGTGTTAGTGTGACATTTGTGTTAGTGTGACGTTTGTGTTAGTGTGACGTTTGTGTTAGTGTGACATTTGTGTTAGTGTGACATTTGTGTTAGTGTGACGTTTGTGTGTTAGTGTGACATTTGTGTTAGTGTGACGTTTGTGTTAGTGTGACGTTTGTGTGTTAGTGTGACATTTGTGTTAGTGTGACATTTGTGTTAGTGTGACATTTGTGTTAGTGTGACGTTTGTGTTAGTGTGACATTTGTGTGATAGTGTGACATTTGTGTTAGTGTGACATTTGTGTTAGTGTGACGTTTGTGTGTTAGTGTGACATTTGTGTTAGTGTGACGTTTGTGTTAGTGTGACGTTTGTGTGTTAGTGTGAAATTTGTGTTAGTGTGACATTTGTGTTAGTGTGACGTTTGTGTTAGTGTGACGTTTGTGTTAGTGTGACATTTGTGTTAGTGTGACATTTGTGTTAGTGTGACGTTTGTGTTAGTGTGACATTTGTGTTAGTGTGACATTTGTGTTAGTGTGACGTTTGTGTTAGTGTGACGTTTGTGTGTTAGTGTGACATTTGTGTTAGTGTGACATTTGTGTTAGTATGACGTTTGTGTGTTAGTGTGACATTTGTGTTAGTGTGACATTTGTGTTAGTGTGACGTTTGTGTTAGTGTGACATTTGTGTTAGTGTGACATTTGTGTTAGTGTGACATTTGTGTTAGTGTGACGTTTGTGTTAGTGTGACATTTGTGTGTTAGTGTGACGTTTGTGTTAGTGTGACATTTGTGTTAGTGTGACATTTGTGTTAGTGTGACATTTGTGTTAGTGTGACATTTGTGTTAGTGTGACATTTGTGTTAGTGTGACATTTGTGTTAGTGTGACATTTGTGTTAGTGTGACATTTGTGTTAGTGTGACGTTTGTGTTAGTGTGACATTTGTGTTAGTGTGACGTTTGTGTTAGTGTGACATTTGTGTTAGTGTGACATTTGTGTTAGTGTGACGTTTGTGTTAGTGTGACATTTGTGTGTTAGTGTGACGTTTGTGTTAGTGTGACATTTGTGTGATAGTGTGACATTTGTGTTAGTGTGACATTTGTGTTAGTGTGACGTTTGTGTTAGTGTGACATTTGTGTGTTAGTGTGACGTTTGTGTTAGTGTGACATTTGTGTTAGTGTGACATTTGTGTGTTAGTGTGACGTTTGTGTTAGTGTGACATTTGTGTGATAGTGTGACATTTGTGTTAGTGTGACATTTGTGTTAGTGTGACATTTGTGTCTATGGCATTTGTGTCTTGGTGTGTAATTTGCGTGTTAGTGTGACATTTGTGTGTTAGTGTGACATTTGTGTCTTAGTGTGACATTTATGTGTAGGTGAGGCATTTGTGTGTTAGTGTGACATTTATGTGTAGGTGAGGCATTTGTGTGTTAGTGTGTCATTTGTGTCTTAGTGTGACATTTGTGTGTTAGTGTGACATTTGTGTTAGTGTGACTTTGTGTTAGTGTGGCATTCGTGTGTTAGTGTGACATTTGTGTGTAAGTGTGACATTTGTGTGAAGGTGAGGCATTTATGTGCTAGTGTAACATTTGTGTCGTACTTAAACTGCTTTCGGTCGTTCTTTAGCGTCTTTAGGTCGTACTTTAGCGTCTTTAGGTCGTACTTTAGCGTCTTTAGATCGTACTTTAGCGTCTTTAGGTCGTACTTTAGCGTCTTTAGGTCGTACTTTAGCGTCTTTAGGTCGTACTTTAGCGTCTTTAGGTCGTACTTTAGCGTCTTTAGGTCGTACTTTAGCGTCTTTAGATCGTACTTTAGCGTCTTTAGATCGTACTTTAGCGTCTTTAGGTCGTACTTTAGCGTCTTTAGGTCGTACTTTAGCGTCTTTAGGTCGTACTTTAGCGTCTTTAGGTCGTACTTTAGCGTCTTTAGATCGTACTTTAGCGTCTTTAGGTCGTACTTTAGCGTCTTTAGATCGTACTTTAGCGTCTTTAGGTCGTACTTTAGCGTCTTTAGATCGTACTTTAGCGTCTTTAGGTCGTACTTTAGCGTCTTTAGGTCGTACTTTAGCGTCTTTAGGTCGTACTTTAGCGTCTTTAGATCGTACTTTAGCGTCTTTAGATCGTACTTTAGCGTCTTTAGGTCGTACTTTAGCGACCTACGGCTTCATATTACAGACGACACATCCGGTTATCTTTGGTCACGTGACAAGTAAAATACCACCACGTGTAAGGAAGGAGCCTCCGTCATTATGGCCATTTTGTCCTACCTTTAAAGACCAGGATTTGCTCAGGATGATCCCAGGATATTAGAGTGTCGGCTGCAGACACGGCCTGGCGTTACCATCGCACTCATTTGGTCCAGTTGTTGTGGGAGGTCATTGGTCCAGTTGTTGTGGGAGGTTGGAGGTCATTGGTCCAGTTGTTGTGGGAGATTTAAGGTCATTGGTCCAGTTGTTGTGGGAGGTTGGAGGTCATTGGTCCAGTTGTTGTGGGAGATTTAAGGTCATTGGTCCAGTTGTTGTGGGAGATTTGAGGTCATTGGTCCAGTTGTTGTGGGAGGTCATTGGTCCAGTTGTTGTGGGAGATTTGAGGTCATTGGTCCAGTTGTTGTGGGAGGTTGGAGGTCATTGGTCCAGTTGTTGTGGGAGATTTAAGGTCATTGGTCCAGTTGTTGTGGGAGATTTGAGGTCATTGGTCCAGTTGTTGTGGGAGGTCATTGGTCCAGTTGTTGTGGGAGATTTGAGGTCATTGGTCCAGTTGTTGTGGGGGATTGGGTCATTGGTCCAGTTGTTGTGGGAGATTGGAGGTATTTTGTGGTAGCTACGGTGCCATTTTGGTACAGGATGCTGTTGCCCCCCCCCCCCCCCCCACTGACATATTGTCTAAAAAATCAGAACTTGGCCATTTTAAAACGCGTAATCGATTATTGAAAATTCAAAAAGTACATCTTAAAATGTAAAAAAACATTGTATCAAAATAATCAAAACTGATTTTATTAAATACATAATCATTCACTGCTCCTGTGTAAATGTCTTGTGACATTTACGTCGTAAGAGTTCTTTTTAATTAGGCCCCTAATTATTAATATTACTTTCATGTTACCTGACTCTAACAAAAATATTTTTTAAAAGTAATTAATAAAAATATTCTACCGAATCTCTTCAAGAAAATAAAAAGCTGTGGGGCGAAATTTTTTTTCAGTGTTGTCTTACTAGTTATACGTTGTCTTGTGACGTAAAACTGATGACACATGACGTCTATCTATACTCACATGACGAGTATTTGTTGTAACACGTTGTATTTGACGTCACATGACGTCAATTTGATGTCACATGTCACATTTGATGTCACATGTGATGTCACATTTGATGTCACATGTCACATTTGATGTCACATGACACATTTGATATCACATTTGATATAACATTTGATGTCACATCTCACATTTGATGTCACATTTGGTGTCACATTTGGTGTCACACTTGGTGTCACATTTGGTGTCACATGACCTGCCTCTGCTAAGAAAGTATATTGATTATTGTGTCATTTTTGAAACTATCAGACAAATAGAGAAATAAAGTGAAGAGATAAGGTCGAGCTAGCGAGGTGCTGGTGAGTGCACCGTGAGTGCACGTGAGTGCGAGCTAGTGTGAGTCCAGCGCCTCCTGTAACACCTTGACCTTGGGTGTACATAATTAACCAGCCAATAGCTCGCGCTCGCTTCTTACACCAGATCATGACGTCACGTGTCAATCAACTCCGTCCAGGGATTAATTATGTAAAGCCGACTTGGTGGCATCGGTCTGTGCATACAGGTGTGGGGCTTACAGGTGTTGGGCTTACAGATGTTGGGCTTACAGGTGTTGGGCTTACAGGTGTTGGGCTTACAGGTGTTGGGCTTACAGGTGTTGGGCTTACAGGTGTTGGGCTTACATGTGTTGGGCATACAGGTGTTGGGCTTACAGATGTTGGGCTTACAGGTGTTGGGCTTACAGGTGTTGGGCTTACAGGTGTTGGGCTTACAGGTGTTGGGCTTACAGGTGTTGGGCTTACAGGTGTTGGGCTTACAGGTGTGAGGCTTACAGGTGTTGGGCTTACAGGTGTTGGGCTTACAGGTGTGGGGCTTACAGGTGTTGGGCTTACAGGTGTTGGGCTTTGTTGGGCTTACAGGTGTTGGGCTTACAGGTGTTGGGCTTACAGGTGTGAGATGTGTGAGACCTACAGATGTGATACCTAAAGATGTGAGACCTAAAGGTGAGGCCTACAGGTGTAAGGCCTACAGGTGTTGGGCTTACAGGTGTGATAAGTGTGAGACCTACAGATGTGAGACCTAAAGCTGTGAGGCCTACAGGTATAAGGCATACAAGTGTTAGGCTTACAGGTGTTGGGCTTACAGATGTTGGGCTTACATGTGTTGGGCTTACAGGTGTTGGGCTTACAGGTGTGAGATGTGTGAGACCTACAGGTGTAAGACCTACAGTTGCGAGACCTACAGCTGTGAGACCTACAGGTTGGAAAACAAACAGGTGTGAGGCCTCCTGGAGTAAGGTCTACCCGTGCGAGACCTACGAGTTTGAGGTGTTCAGTTGTGAGGTTTACATGTGTCGCTGAAAATGGATGAGTTTTCGCCGATTCTATTTTTGCTAACATATTCTCTGTTTTTTTGTGTACCAGTTTATCAAAACAATTTAGGCCTGCCCCTTCCCTCCCCCCTCATCCCAGATCCCTCCCACCTGAGCTAAACTGACTGACAAACAGAAAATGACATACGTGCACCGCATACAGGTAACAAGTTGTCCAATGAGCGTCTGACAAACCGACATCACAACATACACAAACAAATGACGGGCGATAATTCCCTCCAGATATTCTTAGCCAGTCTTCTGGTGCAAACATTTGGCCCCGCCGGAACAAACGTACGATACCGGAAAGTGACGGACATTTACGACGGACAGAACAGTCCTACACAGACTGACAAACAAGGCTGACAACTGAGCTGCAAGTCACGTGATTAGCTGCCAGCTGTAATACACTTGTTGACCCAGCTTATTTACACACAAAACGTCCCTGGTGTAAAAATAAAAAATTAACCAACCCCCCCCCCCCCCCCCCACCCGTTGTAATCGCCTTGCCCCACTACTCCATAAAACCTGTTCCTCCACAATCTATTACCACAATCCACAATCTATTAAAACAATCGACAAGCTATTACCACAACCCACAATATATTACTACAATCCACAATCCATTACCACTACCCACAATCTATTACCACAATCAACAATCTATTATAACAATCCACAATCTATTACCACAATCCACAATCTATTACCACAATCCACAATCTATTACCACAACCAACAATGTATTACCACAACCCACAATCTATTTCAACAACCCACAATATATTACCACAATCTACAATCTATTACCACAATCCACAATCTATTTCCACGACTCACAGTCTATTACCACAATCCACAATTATTACCACATTCAACAATCTATTACCACAACCCACAATCTATTTCAATAACCCACAATATATTACCACAATCTACAATCTATTACCACAACCCACATCTATTACCACAATCTATTACCACGGCCCACAATCTATTACCACGACCCACAATCTATTTCAAATACCCACAATCCTCTCCCCCAACCATACGTTTCCCCAATAATTTTTCTGTCCCACACGCCCCCACTTACAAACACAGAAAACAATTTGGATACCGCCGATGGCAAAACGAAACAATTATAGAAATCATTGATCAGCGCTAGACTCAAAACTGATCAGCTTGTTTTACAAGTTCTTGTTCGATTAGGGGCTGTTGATTGTAATATGGTGTTTTATGGCTCTGTAATGTAAGTGTAATATTCCTGGTGGGGTACAATACTTGGTTTTAGAATTATGTGTGGACATAAGATTCTGCGTTAGAAATACCATGTGGTTCACTATTCTGTACAATAATTATCGTATGGGTGTGGGGAAATTGCGAGACGCGAAAAGCGAAATGGCGAGGCGGGAAAATGCGAGAAGATCATGCGAGACATACCTGCGGAATCAAGGGTAAATAGCGAGACACTTTTTGCGAAAAAAAGTTTTTTTATGCTTATTTCATCTTTATTTATTTAAATTATTTTTTTTTTGTTTTAAAATAAACTAGCATGTAGCCATACCCTTTAACACGAGTGTTGTATGTTGTTATTTTTTATCTATATTTTATTATATATATATATATATATATATATATATATATATATAGATAGATAGATAGATAGATAGATAGATAGATAGATAGATAGATAGATAGATAGATAGATAGATAGATAGATAGATAGATAGATAGATAGATAGATAGATAGATAGATAGATAGATAGATAGATAGATAGATACTAAGAAGATAGATAGATCTAGATCTAGATCTAGATCTATTAAAAAATCCTAACATCGTTGCTGTGCTACTGTCATCGCCCGCTCTCGTTAGCGAGAGGAAAATCCCGTTTCAGTCGGCATTAATTTTAAAAATCTAGCCCGCTCATGTTTATACAAACGTGAGCTGTGTCATTGTGAATTGGTATAATTTTGTCAGCAGGAGAGATATTCTGCAACATGTATTCATGGATTGTTGTACTTGCAAAAAGTGTAAAAGTATAAACAATTCTTAAAAGTGTAATTTATTTTTTATTAAGTAATTTTAATTACAAACAAAATTTACAAACAAAATCTTCTGAAACAGTCCTAGCATTAATCAAACACACCTCGTCACACCATCTTTCACACATAGTACATCCAACCCACCAGTTCATTAGACTCCCATTTATACTGTGCTAACACAGAACACGAATATGAACATAATGAAAAAAAATGTGCGTCTGTAGATAATCTGAATAAAGTCCGCTATGGACGAAACTACCATTTAATAGCTAAAAGGGGTCATCCATAAATGACGATTTTTACCCCCCTCCCCCTCCCCTCCGTCACACATTTTCACAAAAATCCAGACCCCCCCCTCCCCACTAAAATGACATCACACCTCAGTCTACAACCCCCCCCCCCCCCTCAAAATTGCAGTTGAATTTTTTTTAAAACATCGATATTTTCCCAAAATCTTGTTTAATTTCTGTATTTTAATCAATTCCTATTAC